ATTCCAACCATGTCGAATATTGCAGGCACACTTTATTTCTCAGTTTTTTTTTAGATCATAAACGTTCGTGGAGGAGGGTTTTGTAGACATTGGAGAACTGAATCGAAGGATAAGTTTGTATGGGATTCTGGAGTTCGTAAAATTACAAGTTCCAAAGTTTTCAGATTCTCTGAGAATTATACCGACAAAATGCTCCATTTGGAAAAACTAACCGGGAGTTAACTCATATATACTTTAACCCTAAAGATATCTCTGAACGATATCTTTTTTTACCTTTGGTCAATGCTGATTATTTTTGGTCGATGCTGATGGGAAAGAAACATGAGAGAGCGAGAGGAATATCCCGAATGAGGTTGTCTTCGAGATTGGTTTCCTGAAATTTTTATCAACCGTGCAATCTCTTTTTTTTTTAATTTGCTTTAACGGTACAGCCATCGAAACACAGAAAGAAATTTTAGATTTTAATGAAATTCGAGATTACATCTGTAGAAACCGAAGAAAAATTTCAGGGACCAGAGGCCGAGAATCGAACCTGCGACCTCCGAGTTGGCAATCTGGGACGTTACGCGCATAGCCAAAACACGCTTTTGATATTTTCGCTGTTATTTCTCCTTTTGCGGAGTACGGACGCTCCGATCTCGCACCTCTATATGTACATTTGAATTTGAATAGGGGAAAAGTTATGTTCGTTAAATTTAATAGATTCTAATATTCCTGGATAATTGGAATTGAAGCACACACGACTGAATGATCGGTGGGCGTGACAAAGAGTGAATGAGGCAAAGAGCAGGTGCAGACATGTGTAGGGTCAACACTGAATGAGAACCCAGAAAGGGGTAGGGATGGAAACAGCACGTCATATTTTAATGGAATCCTCACGTCATGGAATTCATTATGTTCCCCGGTTCTATTAGCTTACCAAATTTTTCCGTGTATTTTTACGAATTAAAACTTTCAATGTTGTGCACGACGTTCACCGCGGCAAAAAATAGAGCTGTCCTACTTGAAGATTTCAAGTATAAATTATACGTTACGGGAGTTGCAAGTTTCGAGTGGAATTCTTACTTAACTCTCGCGAGGAAATCTACGACGCCGAAGATTCCCTATTTCGAGCACCAATTTCGCTCCATGATTTTACGGCCAACGAATCTATAAGATCCTCGTTATGTATAGTGTGAAATGTAACATCGTGCGCGCTCCGGGGAAAGAATATCCCCGTGGTTACAAGCGCGAGGGATCTCCGGTTCTGGACTTTAAGTAGAATTCTTATCTATTATATAAGTTGTCCGCCGGTGATTTAATACAATAGCTTCCGGGGACACAGAGCATGAAACTCGAAATTTGTGAAACGTAAATTTCCCACCAAACTGAACTTCGTTTCCTACACTACCACTTTGCGTTCCTAAGCTAAAATTCAACGAAAATCTTCAACGTATACGTCCCTGATAAAAAGAGTCAACTTTCAGCTTCGACGCGATAAGTTCGCCGCGAAGGAATTAAAAGTTCCTCCGTGTAATTTCGTTGAAATCTCGCGGGGCAGTTGCGCGACATGGCGTCGAATGTCTCGGCTGCCGGGGGCACAAGTCGCCGTTCCACGCGCGACCATAAATTCTGGAAAATAGTTGGCGTACCATCGTCGTGTAAATAACATTACACGGCACAAAAAGCAAGCGTTGTTTAAATGCTCGAATTACCTCTTCTTCCATTACGAGATTTGTTTCTCGCCCTGCCACGATGATTAAACAGCATTTAAGCAAACAGATTCTTTTTCCTAACGAGCGATTCTCTTATTCGAATTTAAATGTGAAATTGGAAAATTTGAATTTCAAACTTTTAAACAATTACAAATAATATTCCAATTCTCCAAGGACCGTTATCGTTTCAAATTGAATTCGACCGCGTTTCGGCGGGAAGATGTTCGAATTCAAGCGTCCGCGGCAGAAACTTCCGCAACAGCGATTAATAATGATTAGCATAGATTAGTAGAGGACAATTGGCAGCGTCAATTACCCGATTTCGCATTCGTTGATAATGTCCATTACCCGTAAATTATTTGCACGCGAATCACGTAATTAAAGGGCAATCGCGTAATTGCAGACGTGGATGAATCGGGGGAGGGGAGGACAATGGGGAACCGATCGACCGAGAAAAATCTTTGCATTTACAAGGAGATCAACGACGAATCGGATTCCTGTTAGAACAAGCCCGATAGTAGATGTGGTTGGTGGTACATTCGGACAGGCATCCTTGTGAGCGAAGTTATAATAAATTCAAAGCGAACGAGGACACGACTCCGAGTACCGTCGCGATTTTGCATGGAATATTCCACGTACAAATTCAAAGCGGCGCATTCAACCGGCTTTAAAATAACGTAAATGCGTGTATAAAGCGAAATGTAAAAACAATCGTCCTAGAGATGGCTCGTTCTTTCAATGTTATCCGTCATTCCACGATCATCTGACACGTTCTTTTTTTTTTTCAAGTATCCCGTGTCTATTCAACGTTTCTTCGCTGCTTCGAGGGGCACTGACTTTTTTATGCCGGCGATTTTCTGACCTTTGGACGTATGACGTTCCGTTTTTACGGATTTGCGAGGTTTATCTTGTCGAAATTGCTGGCCTTCTGCTTTCAAACGCATCGCAGAGTAAATAATATTTTTCGATACTTTAAGAAGTTGTAAATTAAACGAATTGGTTATAGATAAATGTACGATTAACAAACGATGAAAATAATTAAGATAATTTTCGAAGAGATCGAGCACTGTTTGTTCGAAGATAATGAATTAGTTTCAGATGTTATTAAAATGAACGTCAGAATACATTAGCGATATCTCTACTGTTTTTAACTAAACAGCTTATTAATTGTATGCTCTAATGTAATTACACGGTATATATTACCTTGTTATTTTAAACACACGCTCAAGTATTGATCTGAACCGTAGAGCTACAAAGCAGAATGAATTTGCTACAACTAATTAATTTAATTAGGTCGCTGGAATGTTAGAAAACCTATCCTGCTAATGGCACTCGCCGCCCTTTGTAATAGTATCCCACATTATAACGATCTTCCCGAATTAATTGCTTCGAGATCAAACATTTTCATCTAAACGAGATCACAAATTCCTTGCATATTTCTGTAATTCAAATTATTCTATGTGTACAGCTCGAACTTTGATCCTATAACTTACGTGTCTAGTCTCGTCGTCATACAGCGCTAAAACGAACGAATTGCATTGACAAATAACGTTCGGTGTTCTGAGAAACAACGATAGATCATCGGACAGATTCGCCGTACACGGATCGGTACACGTAACCTAACCTAACCTCGCTGTTGCGACATCCAGAGGGTTTTCATCGCGTTAGAAAATGCGACAGCTTCAATTTTCTCTATTCCTCCGGACGAGTTAACGAAGTACGAAACGCCCCTCTTACCTCCACGTCGGTTAAATATTTTCGCCATTCCTCGCTCTAAAGTCTGCTAACGAGCTTAACCGAGAACAGCCGATTCGGGGAATATTATGACAGAATGCAAATTTTCATTTTCTTCGCGTTATGTTCCCCGCACGATTCTTTGAAATGTCCTCTGAACTTCTACACGTCTGTTTTTTTTATGCCATATAATCAATGCGGAACGTTTAATATTCTCTTAATATTATTCAATTGTTATGTTGATTCCGTATGATTAAATTTGAAATTTTTATTATTTTCCTTTCGGTACACAAAGGAACATCGTTAAATTATACCAAAAATAAATAAAGCCGCTCTAAGGCATGGTAAAACAGAGTTGTCCCGTATATGCATCTTTTGCATTTGACGTAGGCTCTAGATATTAATTTCGTTATCGGGGATATAACGTTGGAATTACTTTATAGTCGACCGTACAATTATTTCGCTTTATTAATTGTCACGTTCAGCACACGAATCTCGTTTATACCAGAAGAGTTAATACCTTCGTAAGAAACTATCACGTATAATTATATGAACATACACAGGAAGTTCCGGTAAAACTATGTGTTCCCTGTAGTAACATTGTTATCGAAATTTCAAACATGCGCAAGAGTTTGCTCTACCCGTTGCAATATTTTCTAACAAATTTACGCTGTGAACCATTAATCCAACATATTTCAAGAAAAATAAATTTATATAGCAGGTTATTTACTTTTTTATTCTATCGTTAAATATTTGGGGAGGTCTAAAAGCCCATCCTTGAGGACTTGATTTCATAAGAAATTTAGGTTAGGTTATACGTCAATCTCACCACGAAGCACGTATAATAATACCTGAAACATCAAGGTCCCTATAAAACACACACTGGACGATCTATTTTCTCCACTATTTCGTAACGAAAATTCTAAAAAGGTCTAGAAATCATTTCTTCAAAGAAATACTGACCTACGTATATATATGTATATATACACGTGTAAATACACACTGGACGATCTTGCAGTCGTTATTAGCACCGGTACAATGTTTGCTCGCGCATTGCATAATGCGCACTTCGAGAAAGAAAAAGAACCAATACACCTTATTATGTAGCACACGATATATATTTCATTTCCCTTTCGAATTATTCTACCATATTCACTAAAAAAGTAACACTCGTATCGAGGTAACAAATCGCGATTAATCCACTATCCACCGTTGCGATACCTAACCAAATTACAAAAGCTGTTCCTTCGAACGTGCACTGTATACAACGCGTACGCGTACTAAAGCGTGTAGAACATTAATTTTCTGACAAAAAAAAAGCAGCGGACAACAGAGGCAATCCGGCCGTTAACAGGCACGTGTCATCGTAATTCTTAGAAGGTATGGACTGCGTTTACCTTTCGTTTGCGTCCCGTTCCCTTCCACACCCGGTGTCCATTGAGCGACCCTCTGGAGGAGGTCGAGCAGGATAGTCGCGAGCATGAGTGAATAGGTGCGAGAAAGAGGAGTGAAACCGATCTGACGAATTCGGAGGCTGGGCAAACGGCCGGGTATAAAACAGTTGATCAGCGTCGAAGCCAGCATCAGTCACGCTTAACTTCGCTTTCCTGCTCGACACAAGCTGCCAACATGAAGGTAAGCGCCACTTTTCCTTCTCCTTTCTCTTTCTAATATTCACTCCTCTCTCTCTCCTTTTCCCTTCGCGCCGTCCTCGCTATTTTTTCTTCCTTAGTTTTCCATTCTTTTTTTCACCTTCCATTCTTTTTTCATACTGCCATCGCGTCCTACACTTTGTTCCGTAGTTTTTTTTCATCCTTCAGGGGTACTTGATTAACCTTTGCAAAAGCATTTGCCGCCTTGTTTCTAATTCAAATGTAAATCTAATGTTTTTTTCCTCGCGAGTTGAATAGCTCTTTTTTGTCCACGGTGCACTTTTATTCCACGCGTAATTCTTGCACGAGAGCCTTCTGAAATTTTATATCCTCGTTCTTATGAAAGACTGTCGTTCGTTGTAAACTGTTTCCGCACGGGTCGAGTGGAAATTGCTTCTGATTCGTCGAACGGTTACAGACACAAAAATCTAATAGAATATTAGGTGGCGCGCGTTGCTCGGGGTGTAATTCGAGTATCTTCGGGGATCGTCGGGAACGTTTAACGCTACGCAACACCATAACTATAAAGCACAACTATAAGGAGGGTGGAACGTCTTTCGCGCCTCGTTAAATTTCTACACGTGCGTCTGCTCGAATTATCGTGGCCAGAAGAGGATTACTTGCGCGTCGCGTCGAAGATCGTTCCCTGAAATAAGCTACAGGTACATCTAATTTGAGAAAACACGTGCCGTTTAAATTCGAAACACGTCCCGAGGTGAACCTTTCCTACGTTTGTTCCCCGCAAAATTCACCCAGACGTGTCCTGCGACACGTAAGGAGAATAAACCGCACAGAGTATTCCCCTTTTCGTGTCGAAGGCCACCGAAATTATCGCTAACGTCCCGGGGAAGCTTTTCAACCGGCACGGTGTACTCGAACTAGTTCCTTTATGAATTAACTTTACGCCGTCTACAGTGTATCGGAAAAGAGTTCCACTTTTTACGAGGGAAACTGTTCTTTAGAACGTATCGAAACCGAGAAAAAAGTTGTGCCTTTTCTAGCGCAAAGTCAGTCTTAACCAATTGACGTTTCGCGATGTTTTTAAACAGTGTAACCTATTTAGAGGTTAGAATAGCTTTAGCTAATTGACCTTTTCACCGAATAGAATTTTGCTTCCAATTCATTTTCTACAGTGTTAAAAAACGAACTGATTCAGATGCAGGAAAGTAGTTGTTTGTCACTCGGAGAATTGAAAATCTGCCTAATAAGTAGATTTTAGCCGACACATGGTACACTCTTACAACGGTGGAACAACGTTTAGAGAAACCGAGCTTAAAAGCGTACCCAGGGGCTGCTATCTTTCACCGGCCGGTATTCGTTTCCACGCGCGTATGTCCCATATTCAAATGAAATTAACCGAGAACACAGCCTCGGCCTTTTTCAACCGGCCAAGATTTTATTTCGTCGGCCGTACTGCGTCGACTAACGCGGCCGGGTGCTTTTACCTCTAACTCTGGCCCTTCTATTTACTTTGTTCTTCGCGAAAGTTTGTTCAAACATTGACAAGTTAGTTTCCATCCCCCATAGATCGGATTTACGCAGCGAAAAAAAATGCACGTTGACGTTCGCCCAGAATTCACCGTTTTACAGGAACGTTTCAAAAGTACACAAAATTTTCGCGTATTTTTTCGATCGATCTCTCACGATTAATTTTCTAACCTCTCTCGATGATTTACCGTTCGTAAATATTGGCACGTTTGCTTCAAAAATGTCGTGAATATTTGGAAAGTGTACTATTATTTCAGCAGCGGGAAAAATTCGGAAAATAAAATGATCCGGAATAAGAGACGGAATAGGGTGTTTTTGAATGGCAAGACGATAACCAAATACAAGTGAACAATCACAAATGAATTTCTCACTCGTTCACCGGTGTTTTCCAAGCAGTACAAAAATACAGGATTGCCGGTCGTGCGTGGTATGTGTAAGAACACGGTGGTGGTCGGTGTTTCGAGACGAAAGTTTGGTTGGTCGCGTTCACGGTATACGATCAGGGCACGTGACAAGAAACTGGATTGGAAAGGGATCGAACCGGTGTGCACGCATGGCATTTCGATTTTCCACTCGCGTTTGTTCGATCCTCGATGGAATCACGCTTTTAATCTATGTCTAATTAGAGGACTCCGCGGCGGGCTCGTTAATCGTTGGGAATTAACGCGGACCGTTTCACCGAATATACGATTCCCCCTGCCGCTTTGACAGTATGGCGCTCGCGTTGGCATTTTAATCAACGGTGGGGTTAATCGTGCGACGATTCAAAAATTACCGATTAATCCGAAGCTGATTATTCAGCGGTATCGAGTCGTGATTTAGCGGTATTGTTCGCGGTACGGATTTGCATTCGTTCTTTCTTCGAAAATCGAATTACATTTCGTAGAATTTTCTTAGGATGTTGCGTCATGTTCGATTTAAATGGTAACAAAGGTCGTTTAAATTTTTTCATATACAAGTCGTTGCATACGAAACGGCGCAGATTCCGTCTTGTTTTTATAACCTAGAATCACGTCATTTGTTGTAATACGGAGTTAATCGTGCGACGATTAAAAAATTAGCGATTAATCCGGGGATTTCCATACTGTGGAAAAGTGAAACTTACTGTCTACTGTTTTTAACGCAAACCTAGTTTCGCTAGAAAAGTTAGGTTATGTTAAATATAGAAAATGGATTCTAATCAAATTCGACTAATTTCCTTTTACGAATTTAAACTGAGATATAGTGCAACAGAGGTGACGTAAAATAAACATAGAATTTGGGTGAACGGATAACATAACCTTACTTTAATCATTTCGATCTTTAAAAAAAAAAAAAAAATCATCAATAATGAAGCAACAGTTCAAAATACATTTGAATAACTTATTACCAGTATTGAAATTTTTATAATAATATTTATAATAATCGACTATATGCGCTAATAATTTTCTGGCCAAAACGTGTTGAATCTGGAGTTCATTTCGATTAATAAAATGTAATTTTGGCTACATTATTCTTTCATTTATCACTTCATATGCAACGACTACTGTTTCAAGTTTTTACACACGGAGACCTTGACGATGTTAAAAACGAAAAGAAAAACGGAAGATTTTCATTATTTCATAGTTCTGATTGAAGCGGTAATTATAGAGCGCGCCTCGGTCGCCAGAGTATTTGTCACAAGGGGACATTGTCCCGTCGGCGGGATAAAGAGGGGGGGAAAAAATGAGAAAAAAGAGCCGAGGTGAAATTTATTTACGAGAGTGAAAGGCGTTAAGAGGTATACCTCGATGGCGCGATTGCGTCATGGGATTTATGCACGTGTGCCGTGTGTACATGGAACGCCACGGTGCGGCGCGACGCGGCGTTGACACCAATTCTGTAATTATCGACGTTACGCTCTTTAAAGAGGCGGTCTGCGCGCGTTCGATGAGCATTCGCAATCCAGCCAGGCCGACTATCCTAGTTGAACGACGTCAGAGACTTACCCATCGAGAGGACTTGATCCCCCGTTGCTCTTTGTCGCTGAAGGGGGTTTTTCAAAATCCTCGCCACAAAGGTAGAATGATCGATGGGTTTTAAATGGTGGCGCTCGCGGACGAAAGGGGTTCGGTTAAAGAGTAAAACGGTATGTGCATGCCGGTCGCTTTCTCTCTACTAGGCGAACCGAAGAAAGAAATTTCCCAATTGATATTATTTTGAAAAAGATCTTCAAAAAATGTCTCTTTTCATGTTTATCGACATTACTTTGAAGAAATCTCTAAAAAATTGCTCTCTTGATGCTTATTGACATTACTTTGAAAGAAATTTTCGAAAAATTGCTCGTTTGATGCTTGATATTACTTTGAAAAGAAAACCGCGGAAAATTCCAGTTTTGACTCGGCGATCTTCCGTTTTTATTTCTCCAAATAAATTATGCAAATTCAACTCACCGGTGAAAGATATTATTTGCATTTTTATAACATTAAAAGCAAAGTTTAACCTCACAGTTCGCAACCGATGACTACACGAATACGTACGATGCGTGTCGATTAACAACGTTCAATCCTATCTACTTACAACGTACAATCACGTAAAAGCCATTCATCTCGTCACCTTGGCCTTGAGCCACTTTAAAGAAGACGAATCAGTCGAGATCGCATCAATACACATCCTTACGAGATTCTCGAATCAGCGAAAGTTCAAAGGATGATGGATGCTTTGCAGGGAGCGAGTCTTGTGAAAGAACGAGTTTTCTCCCGTGTCGCGTGAGACTGTGTTCTTCGTTAGGAATTTCTTTATCGCAAACTTGTTCCACGAGGTTCTGCAATTCGGTTTTGTAATCGTGTAGCAACAAAAACTCTACCAGACCCAGTCATAAATAACAAACAATTTATTCTCCCCCAGAACTATCATTAAACGAAACAACTTTTTGTTCAGTCTCCTAAATAACAATAATTAAAAGTCGTAAGAAAATAGTTAGGTTACTTCACAAAATATACATTTAACCTCAACTTCCTGCCTTTCGACGAAATCAATTTCATCGACACTAGGATTACCAGCCGAGTCAAAACGACCAATTAGCGACTTTCCAAAAGTGAATTTTTCTGTAAGTAAACCGTGATTGGAAAATTCGATTCGTATCGATACAAATAGAAGCATACACGCGGAAAATAAATTCGGAAAGTTGCGAACGATAATACATACCAGTATCGAACATTCACGTTTCTTCGAAAGATGCCAATGGGTCATTTTAACTCAGTCGGTAATTCTAGTGTTAATAACCACTTTCGACTAAGTTTCCAATAAAAGGTATAGCAGATTGACAAGTAACGTTAACCCTATGCACTCCAAATTCTTTTTTTCATTTTCTTTCCAATAACTCCGCATTATTTCAAGTGTTTTATTTCAACTGTTGACAGGGAGCAATGCAAACAATTGCTTCGTTACACATACATGTATAGGATTGAACTGGATGGTCGAAATCGTTGCGACAAAATAGTCCAGCTGGCGATGAGTTTATTTAACTTTTTACAAAATCGGTTCCTCTCCGTATCGAAACGCGCTCTTCCCTCTCTCTCTCTCGCTCGCTTCTCCAGACGCTTCTAAAATCAAAATCAACTGTCTCTTTTGGCGACCTACCTTGTTTATCGTCTCTCTCATACTCTCGTTCTCACTCACTCACTCTTGCTGTGGGGGTCGATCACCTGTTTACAATTAGGCGCCGGTGACGCCGAGCATCGCGCGACCTGTTAAAACACAATCGCTCTTGTAAAACGCGTCGATTTCGAGACGGTCCAACCGTCGTTTGTGCCTAACGGCTCGGCTTCCTTCACATATACGACACTTTTCTGTAACAATTCGACTTATTTGTTACAAAAAAGGGTCGTATACACGTAATGTTGCTTATCTAAGTATAAAAAGAATTGAAACGTCGCAATTGAAAAACGCGGAATGCGACTCGACATAGGAGTGCCTGCGAATAAAATTGAGGCACACTCGACAAAGGAGTGTGAAGGGTTAATCGTTATCTACCTTTGCCTACGTGCAGCCATAAAAAAACTTGTGGTTGCAAAGGAATCGCGCAAGGACGTTGGTGATTCAGTTGTAGACTGTTGCGGTATTAATTGGTGCATCCGATGCCGAGAAAGCGGGGATGGTTGATCGAGGCATGGGCCCGTTACGTGTGGAATCGATTAAACTGTGAATTGTCGCTCGGTAATCCGGTCTCGCGTATAGATTAAGTGTGGCGGAGAACAGAATCCGTACGGTTAAGTAGCGGTTGTCTCCTAAGTCTAGATTTTCCGTCCGGCCGCTGTTCCCTGTCTAACGTATATACTTACAGATATGTACCTATACCCCCTTGAGCCTTCGTTACACGTGCATCCCCTTACGAGGTAAATTTACATTAAGTTGGGATTAAAGCTCGGTTAAATCTTGATCGGATCCCTCGGTTAGATCACTGGAATATTAAATTTCGATATTATCAGGGTGGATAGACGGCCGTGAGGGAGAAGGATAGGTAGATAGCAGAAGGTAGGGGTTTCGCGCCAGGTCTATCAGTTCTGAGCCACTTAACTGGGAATGCATTACTAATTGCGTCCTATTAACTGTCCACAATCAGATTCACGATGTTCCATTCTGTTAAACACTACTCGACCTTCCCGCCCGACTTATCCGACCAACCCTGCCCACCTATCATCGATCCGACCCATGGGATACGTACAGATTTCGCGTCTACATCGACGGTGAATCGACGAGAGAGCTTCTCTATCTGTCCTCCTCTATTCTCTTCCTTCTTCGGGTGTATTTTTTCGAAATACCAACCAATCGCTCTCTTTCTTTCTCTACCTCGATTTTCCTGCTTCGAATGTAATTTTCCGAGGGAATAAAGAACGTTTCTTCGCTGCAAGTGACAACATCGTTCGAGTTGGATTATTCTATCTAGACCGGTTCCTGCGGCGAATTCATCGGCGTAACAGAGATTTCGACAGATTCGCGTGAACCGTTCATTCAGATTTACTCACATTTCTCTGCGTTTCGCGTGTTTTTCAGAAATTGCTAGCTAGAATTCTCACACGAGCTCGAAATCTACTTCAGACTGGAGTTTAAAAAATCTGACGCTCGGTATCCCCGATAACAATCTCTCGAAGCACTTTTAATTTAAAAGTATCACACATCTATCGCCCAAACAAGGTTCGAATCTTCGTTTAGAGTGTACAATGGCCACGCGATGTACTTTACTTTTGCAGCTTGGTAGCACGCAAAAAAAGAGAGGGCAAAATCCTGGGCTATCGAGTTAAATGTTCCTAAACTACATCCCGTGTCCAACTACTCTCCGTTACCTTGTCGCAATTCGCGGGACTCTCAGGAACAACCTAATCCCTCCACTCTCTCGCGATACCCATCGCGAAGATAACGCTTTTTCAAACGTAGTACCTCGGGATTTTCCCCTTTTTTTTTTTTGTTAGTAGCCTTCGTGTTAGCTTCAGCAGCGAGAAAATGCGACAAGGTGGGTGGTAAGGGAAAAAGGAGTTTCGACCTGGTATCTCGCGGTGTTGCGCCGTTTTATCTCGTAGCTATACTATTTTATAAAAGACTACATTCGTATTTGTTCCTTTTTTTTGTGTGCCCGACGAATCTAGGTCGCGATTGTTTTCCTCGCCGTGCTGGCCTGCGCTCTGGCAAGCGAGAAGTACACGACCAAGTACGACAACGTCGATTTGGATCAGATCCTGAAGAGCGACCGTCTGCTGAACAACTACGTAAACTGCCTGCTGGATCACGGAAGTTGCACACCCGACGGCAAGGAGCTTAAAAGTGAGTCGACCTTTAAAGTCCAGCTTAATGCGAACACGTACACATCTGACCTTTTGTTTCCACCTCTCGGTCCTGTGTCTATTTTGTCACCAATTATCCGCCGGATCACGAGAGAAACGTTTCTTTCGTCGCAATTCTACCAATTTCGTCCTCTCTTTCTCTTACCTGTTTTCCTCCCTGTCTTTCTCTCTTCGAATCGTTTCGTGGAATTGCTCAGCTCCGGCCCGGTGTTGCGATGATTGTTCCGAGAACTAACTCTACGAACGAGTAAAGGGAATTCGTAATGGGGACAAGAGTCTGCCAGGAGGGTGGCGGAAGAATCAGGCTAACAGTCTTCCAGGCGAGCACTGACAATGAGATGAAGCTCCCGCGACTATTCATCTGGAGTTGCGCTTAAAATTCACTTTTCGCCGAATTATTGACAGAGTTTAGATGTAACGCTCGCTGCAGAGAAAAAGGTGTTGGAACGTGTTATCGAATAAAAAGTTGCATTTTCAATCTTTCCTTTCTGCACTCGGAGGTCTTTTTGCTATAGAAGGGGGTGCAAATCTGTGAAATTTTTTTAAACTAACGTAGAAATAAACTACGCTGTCATTTCACTATGGTGGTCAAATTTAACTTCGCTTCTCAGTCGGTTCCAAGGGGTTAACACTTCCTCGCGGTACAATCTAAAGAAAAGATCGTCGGTGGTATAAATCACCGTCGAAACAAGCACGCGAATATCTCTGCGTGTCTTTCTATTCCACAGATCTCGGCTTTAATCTGACCTGTTTTATCGTGCAGACTCTAACGTTCCCCGTTACTTGGTCTTTGGGGACCTCTAGCCTTGAGATCCAATAAGCAATGCCCTCTACTTCCTATTTCTCCCGGTCGTTATCGTCTCTCCCTCGAAAACCTGCTCCTGTTGGTCGTGTAACGGCGGAGGCACAGCTGCCCGCTCCCGCTTCCGGTTTCCTCTCCGCATCCGCACCGTGCCACCCTATGGTGGGTGGGTGTCGTTGATGGAAAGTTTGCGGGTTGCGCCGCGGTGTAACGCTGTCAAATATTGGACGAGGGTGAAAGTAGAGCAAGTGGGCCGAAATGGAGGCGGCGGACTGCAAGACCGCAGAACCCCTCAAAAGGACGACCTCGTTCGATCTAACGCTACGGTCCCGCGGGACGTCGCCGAGTCTCTTGTATTTCCTGCGTTTTCCTTACTCCAATCTCTACGCAGGATCACCAGCTTTCGTTTTATTTTCTCTTTCTACGGTAGAGTTGGGGCGTGTTTTTTATGCCTGTGTTTTCTTGCCGATTGAGCTTGGATTGCCTGAGAAATCTTGGGGCTGGCTGGGAGATTTGTTTGAGTGATAGCGGGGTCTAGTGTGGTAGATTAAACTGAAATACCTTTTCTTCTTTTCTAGAGGTTTTCCATGTGTGTTTGTTTATCGGTGGAATTTGTAGGTTTTGAGAGTGTAATGCGTTAAGCGTCGGCTGTGTACTGTTTTAGTGCTAGTAAGTAAGAAAAGCTAATGTATCGTAGATTAACTAAAAGATTTGCCAATCTTCAGTTTTATAAATTAAATGGAAAATTGGAATGAAGATTAATTTTTGTTACCGATATAACTGTTTTTCTGCGGCACGAGTCCGACTCGTTATTATACGACAAGGGGTTAAGGGTGTTGAAATTAAGCAGAATCTTGTTCCGCGACGGAACACGAAGGCCGAGGATACCGAGAGCGATACGTATAAAGAAACGATGCTTTTTCCTGGTCTGCTTTAAAATAGTCCTCGAGAGACTCGTTACATCGCTTGCAACGTTCATGGAAGCATTCAAAAGAGGCTGAAAATTCTACCTGGTTTACGTCGTTTAGACTCTCGGTCACGTTCTTTCTGCAAGACAGCAGGTAGAATGGAAAGGAAGGGTTAGTAATCGCGGTGTCCTCTCTTCTCCTTTTTATCGAATTAATATTCCTGCCAAAAGTGAAAAGCTCCTGTCAAAAGATCGGTATGCATTGGTAATCCCGTGTTTTAATACCGTCTTGATCGACTTGGAAACGGTTCGTGTTCGAATTCATTTCACATTAACCCGAAATCGAATCCCGTGTCAGCCGTCGGCGAAACTCTCGGTTCGGATTAAATTTGATCGCGGTTCGCTGTTCGTTCACCGCTCGAATAACATCCGGTGGTTGCCGTTCGACCGTGTGCAAAATTTCCGCCGCTTAAAATCTTCCCTCGCGGCTTTTAATCTTCTCCGGAGACGTCGCGGGACGTTCCTCCTTCCTCCTCGGTCCTTCGGGATAATCCGAAAGAATAATCGCCCGCCCGATAAATATTCTACGTATATTCGACGCTTCCAATGTCCCCCTGCGGCGATTCGTTAGCCTCTGCCGCCGCTGCTTGCTGGTCGGTGAAATAATTTTCGATTCAATTAAGATATCCCCGCGCGTGGACGAACTGCCGCGATAACACCGCAAGACGGTGATCCATTTAACAGTCACCCCTTTGCCACTAATGGCGACTACTCGTTTCTCCCGCAATCACGCTCGATAAGCGCGCTTTTTATTGGAGACACGTAGGCGTCACGCGAACACCTATCTCCAGGAGGAAAAAGGGAGATGTACTTTGATAAATTAAGCTTGCTGAAAGTGTTAACGAAGCTGGGTCATCTGTGACCGGTGTCACTCGCGTGTGTGGAAGGTTCGTGGGATGTACAGGGCGATGTAAAAACTTTGTCCAGCTTTTGTGACGATTTTAGTATGCTGTCGTTGGAGGTCGCTCGATCATTAATTAACGGTACCGCTTTCTTTCTGAAAGTTACCGAGGAGTGTAGTTTAACCCTTTAACTGCAGCGTGCACCAAATCATCAGATTATCGCACAAAATACGTTGCAAGCATACGGCAATATAAACTACGCGTCGTCTAACAAGACGAGTTGCACCAGTTTAGTAAAACAGCAAATGTATTGCAAAGAACAAATTTTATCGGTCGTATATATACGTCTTTCGTATGTATCGCCTTTACCAATCGAAGGGTTAACGTTCTCAAATAAAACTCTGAGGAAAACAATCTATCCTCCGACGCACACACGCACAAATCTTACACTGGGTCACTTGTGACCCGACTCGGTCAGAAAGAGAAATCTACTCCACATAGTCGGCCGTTCAAAGGGTTAGAAAGTGTCGCAGCAAACAGGTAACGATTCGTCGATAACCATTCACAGCCAGAGTTACGAACCAAGTGTTTACATCTACGTAACTGCTTCGTTAGGACTTCCTGCTACTACTGCTATCTATAAAACATCGTCTAAAAGACTCGATCGCAACCTGTAAGTACTTGTTGATGCCCATTCCACAGGTACGAACTACCTCTCCCAATCTCTCCGGTAATAACGAACGATTCTTTCGTCCAAACTGGACCAATTCGTAATCTCAGTCGTACCTTAACAAGTATTCTGTCAGCTTCCCGATAAGTCTCCGCGCGTATGTGTGCACGGCGCTTACGCGATCAGGCGAATGCCGGGCGCAACTCTCCCATCGACAGGGTCGTCCCTCGCGTAAACGTCAGCCCGTATCGGTCCATCAAGATGAATTTCCTTCACGGTTCCACTTTTATTCGCTCCCTTCGCGCCGGGCCACGGTGGAACGAAGGGTGCTTTATCAGGCAAATACAGTCCTTGTCTCGGGGAATTCACGGACGACGTGCTCGCCAGAGCAGCTGGCGCAAATGACACTTGGCAAAAAATGTCGCACGACCGGGCAAAAGCTGCAAACCATCTCTATATTCACTCGACTAACATACGTTATGAAGTTCGCCCTGTCGAAGGTACCACGATCGGCGTACGTCCTCGAAGGCACCATATGGAGAAAATTATAACGATTTCTGCATGTGCTCTTTGCCTTTCCTCGTTCCATAGAAGTCTGCCGAAGAGCTGTCTTATGACTGTTATTCTCTCTTTTTCTTCTTCTTCTTCGTTTTTTTCAGTTGGATAAACGTGTAACGGTAGGTTGAACGAACATTCATGGTACACCGTTGGTTTGCACGTCGGTGCTCGAGAAGTCAACTGGGAAAAGGAAGACGGGGAATTTCAACAACTGGCTATATTTCACTTGCCGAGAGTTCGGCTTGAGGGAATGTCGGGGACATGAAGAGGTCCAGAACGCGAGGTTAGCTTGTACATTCGTACGTAGGATGAGAAATGGGGGTAGTTTAGCGTTGCTGTAATGGAATAAGGTACATTTAGCTACCGTAGCTAACTTCTTTTTTAGTTTCCGAGGTTTCTTTTAGATTTCATTAGACGGAACGTGTGTCTGTTACTTCGAAACAATCGGGAGAATTGTAGAAGGTTGATTTCTGAGTGGTTAATAAGTAATCGAGGAGATTTCGATATCGACGAGGTGTCCGTTTCGAAGCCTGCGAAATTACGAGGTAAACGGCTTTCGAGAAGAATCACATTACTTTCGTACCTACTTTGCGAAGTGTTCGGATGCGATTAAAGCTTGGATCGCAATTAGCACAGTTTTGCTGTAACTCGCTCCAGAGTTCGTTACGTCCACGGTCACTTTGGAAAATTCTTGATCTCATTTTCAAGACACTCTCTCTCTCTATCTCTTCTACTTTCCTCTTCCCTCCCGGCTCTCTAACGTACTGTTGATTACGTGGAAAAGAGGGCTCGCCGGAGAGGGTGGCTCCGGTTGGTATAAATAAGAAGTTTGCTCGAGTAACCTATTTAAAAGCACTCCGTCATATTTTCTGCTTTCCCGGCGACTGCGATCGCCGATAAGATTGCTTTCTACAATCTTAAATACTTTTAGATAGACCAGCACACTTGGAAACTTCGATAAGCGTGATAAGCGTGAATCAGAGATGGTTAGGCACATAATTTCACTGTTTAACCCTTTCGTTACGGCAGATTTTAACGCGTAACGCGTCCAAAATTAAGGTGGGAATGCGTAAATAGGTTTATTAAATTAAGGTGGAAGTGCGTATAGTGCGAGCAAATTTTCGAAACGCCTATGGGCGCCAATAGTAACGAAAGGGTTAACACGTTCCGTGCTGGACCGATTTTCGCTAACTTCACGTACACTACCGGCCGAAAATTTTGAATCACCTGCCAATTTGTATTAATATTGAATCTGCTACTAATTCTTTATTGATTTGAAATTGATGTTGTGGAGATCAGTAGCACTTTACCTCGTTTCGACTGATTTGAATGATAAAAAATTCGTTGAAAAATTATTATAAATGCTAACTTTTTTGGGGAATTTTTGTGCAACTTGCAATGCACAGTGATTCCTAATATTTGGCCGGTAGTGTATGTGCCCCAAACTAATAGCACCCTATATATCTTCCACTATTCATAAGATCGCAAAAATCACTGTTATGAAGAAGAAAGTGACGTTCGAGATGCACGACAGAACAAAGGAAAAATTTTTATTCGACAAATTACCGTCGTAGTTGCATAGTTTAAGTCAAAGAAAGAAAAATACGGAAATATCGAACGACCTGAACGGAAAGTCCAGTGTTAACCCCCAATTACTCTACGGGTTACAATGACCCGGAAGTCTCTCATAAAAACTGTACAAACCAACTAGAGAGCATTGAAAGTCTACAAGTTCACCAATTACATTTTTCCACCCTATGACGCATCTCTTGTAGCAACCTGATCGTTAGCAACAAGAAAACGACGGAACCAGAAATTCGAGTCAAAGGAGCAACCTTCGTAATATATTTCTCCCCGGTAAAGAAACCTGTTGGCCCATTTAAAAGAGAAAAATACCACGTACCACGGTGTACACGTATACGCAGTTGCATTGAATTTGTGTTTCCCTTGTGATTTCAGAATCGCTACCAGACGCCCTGGCGAACGATTGTGACAAATGCAGCGAGAAGCAGAAGGCGGGCAGTGAGAAGGTGATCCGGTACCTGATTAACGAGGTACGTTCACCGTCACTTTTCCGCGGCTAATTAAACGCGAACAGGCGGCCAGAGTTGCGTCCACCGGTTGCCGACCCGACAGGGACACCGAGCTGCCGTTCCTCCTTCTCTCGTCGCCCGTGGAACTGGTTCGACTTTCACGTTGCCGACTCTCTGACCCTTGGACACGCGCGTACAAACTCACGGATCACCCTTGCAGTCTCCCCCCACGTCGTTCCCTTCCTCCTCTTCCTTCACCCCAAGGGGATCCTTGGACTTCTTCGCTTAATAATCGTTAACCTATGGCCTCGAGACAACCGGTTTAATCCGCTATGCGCCCAACTTCCGCCCGTGTTCCACAAACTTCGCCGGTTATTTGCTCTCGTTTCGGTTCTTCCTTCTCGTACTATCGACTTTCTGTATCTTTCGTTACTGTTTCCTTTTTTGAGGGGGTGAACGTTGAGGGAACGGGTGGGTAAATTGCGGATTTAATTGCTCAGATGGTAGTTGTAGTATTTTACGAGTTTTTGGTGTTATTGTTTATTGAGCCTTTGCGGTTCTCTCGACGTGAGAATTTTTGTCTTCGTGTAACGATCAATTGTAAGTGATAACGAATCGTTTCTTTTGTGCAGTAATATTACGCTCAAAGTTAGTGTTTTATAACCGATATTACGTTGAAATATTGAAATAAAGGGGAACTAGATGGTAGCTGCCCGAGAGTGACCAAATGAGCGCGAATTAACTGGACTATTTGGACCGCAAAGGGTTCAAATAGATCCCATTAGCGTGCATATGTAAATTACAATAATTTGACAGCCTCAAAATTACACGAAAAAAGTCCAAAGGCAGTACGAAAGAAATACTGTTAATCGAAACGCGTATTGGAAAACTAGATGAACAACTACGCGGCAGAAAAGTCATCGAGAATCTAAATGACCGTATTGCAGGTTTTTTCAAAATTTTTTCGATAGGACAAAAAGTTGCTCGAAAAACTGGTCAGAGACGTTCAAGGAATATCGCCGTACAAGGGGTTTATGAAACTTTCCAAACGGTTTAACTCCCGCAGTTTTATCTCCGTTGGTAACTTTTAATTGAACCAACGAGGCCGATTCATCTTGTTGACATTCTTGTTTTTCCACTTCGTTAACTATGCCGTAATGAATTCTATTATAACAGAACACGAAAAATTCGAACGCATACGAACGCTCTTTCTGCAGCATTGTGTTCCGATAACCGCGTGTTTCACATTAACCGAGGCAAACGTGGCTCTGAAATTAAAGGAATTCGATCGCTCTGCCCCCGAGTTTTAACTGATAATTCCCGAATAAAACGATCTCGATTTACGTTTCAGCGACCAGAACTCTGGGAGAGGCTGTCGAAGAAGTACGACCCGACCGGCGAGTACAAGCTGAAATTCGACGACACGGCGGACAAGCATGGAATCCAACTTTAAATAGTCTACGATGCGAGAACTTCCTTTTTTTTTTTTAAGAACAAGTATTTTAAGTGCAAACTCTTAACGAAAGAAAAAAAAAAAACACATAGTTCGTTGATCTGGTACAACCGATATATCGGACATGTCGTTACCTTTAAGTTGTATCCAGCTGAAAGATTGCGAAATAAACGTTGCATTCGTGTAGAACGATAGAACAGAAAATGGCGGAACAATTTCTTTCGCGTTGAAGTACCAGGCGAGTCTAATTTGTTCGTTGCCACCCGACGAATAGGGAAAAACCGGAAAAAGAAAGAATAAGGGGGAGAGAGAGAGAGGAAAGAGAAAGTCTTGGAGGATTCGTTCGTTTTGTTGAAAAGACAAGCATCCGCAGAAACGAAGAAGAATTCGCCCAGTACGTCCCTCCTTCCCTTTTATTCCCTCCGCCGGTTCTATTACGACTGATTGTTTCGCGTTTGAAATAATCAAGCCGCTTTCATGGTCGACGAGCGAAACGTAAACCGGTGGATTTAATATGAAATTGGAAAAATCCTCCGGGTCAATCCGAGGATTTGTATGCGCTCTACGCATACGCCTTCTCTCTTTCTCTCTATCTATGTAGCTATATCCACGAAAATTTCCCTCCGACTGTCGCACGTGTGCGACGTATATACCTTGTTACCGACAGCTCCGCCATTTTTCTCATCCCCTCGAGCACGGTAGAACACCGAATTACGATTTGTCGAATCAAGCTCACTATCAAACGAACTTCACCGCCAGTCATAAACGCGCCGAGGATCTTTACACTCCTCCGTGAAACGTGTACAATCGGTTTTTTGAGATAAAGCCCGGAGTAAGAGGGAAAAACCGAGACGTTTCATCCGGCGGATGAGGGAGGAGCGGTAGAAGGATAGGATTGTTGGATTCGTATGCATGGGACGAATAGCTCGTACCATTCAGATCCAGCCGCAATTTCGTTTCGAGTATATGCTCCACGCTTTGATTCCATTCGAAATTTCCACGACACTGCGTCAATTGTGCGTGACGTATGAAAGTGATCTCGAGTCAGCTAGAAGAATATCTTCGTTCCGGGATCTCGGTATTCTAGGTTTATGGAAGAAATATGCTCGGTTGCGTTTTTCCCCCATTCAAGGACAATATACAGTAATTCGTTCGATTCGCCCCATAAAGCAAATCAATCGATCCTCGTCTCTTGTAATTTCTCTCCAACCGAGACAATTAAACCACCCTATGAAACTTTCCTTCCAATCAAACGCTCCTCCCTCATATCTAACTGGCCTGTTAGTCATAAAATTGTCCCTCGTCTTGTCTCCGACGTCGAATTACCCTGTCTAACATTTTTCCCCCAAGAGTTAAACTGCGACGACTCTACTTGCTCGAGTAATTTCAGCTCGTTAGTCGGCCGGGAAGTTTTACGGGGAATCGAGAATCGAACGGAACTGTACAAGGTGAATATTTAAAGAAAAGCACGGAGGTTGAACGGTGATCGTGGTCGTGTACGACAGGCACGGCCGCCGATAATTTATTTGTAGCCACGAACCGTACGGTTCGACACTTGGGAAGTGATAAATCCAGGCACAATGCCGGCAAAAGTTTCGCCTCGGGCGAACTTTGAAGTCCGAACGTCGCCCTTGAGACCGTTCGCTTAATTTCCTGACGCTGTCCGCTCGCGAAATATGTGCACACACCCCTCTGTACACGGGCAATCATTCTTCCAGGACTTTGAAAACAATTTCGCATTTGCATCGATTTCCCGCACTCTTTTCTCCATTCCCCTCTCTATTCGTCCAATGTGTGCATCTTCGCGAGAGATCCGCTCTTCGACTAAGGGGGAAGCAACGACTCGTTCCCTCGAAACCTTTGAATTGTTTACGAGGATCGTTTGATAAATTGCACAGCGAGGAATTATTGCTCAACGTCTCTGGCGATTACTCGCCTCGAATCGTTCCTTCCACTATTTTTTCCTCTTCTTCTTCTTCTTCTTCCTTCTGGAGAACAGCTGGAATTTCTTTAAACATTCATCCTCTCCCTGTTATCCCGCTGAAAGATTACTTTCTTTTTGGATACATTCCAGTTGCAGAACGGGGAGCAACTATTTTCCTCCCCTTCTCTTCTTCATTCCAGCAAATCTTTCACACGGTGTGACAAATTCGAGGGTTTCCGACGTGAATACGTGACACGGATTAAAAGAAACATCGATCGAGTTCGCTCAGTTGGAGAGAAGTAGCAGATTAATCGAGCTGATTTGCGACTACGGTTGCGAAGATTTCGCAGAGGGAGAGAATCGTATAATTATATACCCGTTTGTTTGTCACCGTTCCTCGAGGTTCTCTCCGGGGTCAAAGGAAACCGGCGAACAATATTTGATTTATCAACGTTTCGTTTCACTTCCCTTCCGCCCTTTGTACCCGCCCTCTAATGCAACTTTTTCGCTACTTTATTACTCCTGCCGACTTTAAGAAGCGCTCTTCACTTGGATTATTTTAATTAGGTACACTCTCGTCGAGCGTTTTGTTCGCCGTAAGTAACGCCGTCGTCGCGAGATCGAAGGGAAAGCGTGTTACATCGAGAATCGTGTCGTCTCTCCCTCCTTGCTGCCGGGTAATCGCGTCTTTACCAATTTCCAGAACGAATATTTAGACAGGTCCGTGATTATTTGCGGCAAACACAACCGAGAATTCGTACCCGGCGAACATGTACCAGGGGTGAGACACGACGGGATCGATTCTCACGAGTCGTATTATCGCGAGTTAAGGTAGGGTAATAGCCGGGGAAAATAAAATGTTTGACAGTCGGGGAATGGGATTGCCGTGTAAGGAGAGAGCGGGTTCGAACTATTACGAGGAGGATCCCGTAAATAGACCTACCTCTCCTCCGTCTTGTCCAACAGGGTAGGGAGTACGATTTTTATTTTGGCCACGCCGTTCGAATTTTCTTATCCTACCCGGCGTTGTCGGTGAAACATCGCTCGGGGGAAACTTTACCCGCGGTCGCCTTTGTTGGACCGGCGAAACTTCAAGAGTCTCGTGATAAATTAACCCCTCTCTCTCCTTCCTTCTCTATGTATCTGTCGCTTAATCCCCTTCTCTTCTTCGTTTCTTACTTTCCACCCTTATATTCGGCTGTACCCAGAAGAGAGTCCTCTTCACCCTTCTCGCGTTTTATCGTCCCTCTCTGTCCCTACCTCTTCTCTTCCCTCTTCTTCTCTTCAAAAGGCGACCCTTTTGCTTTAACGACGGAGTAAAAGATGCTGGAAATCACCTCGAACGTAGGAACCGGCTTCTAAATCATTCGGCGGCGGTAGATAAAAGTTTGGAAAAAGTTCCGGTGATCGATTGTGGTTAAACGGGAAATTAAGTAAGGAGGAAATTGGTTTCAAGGTTGTTGGAAGGTTTCGAAAGAAGGTCGAGTCTTTCTTAAAGGGAAGCCCCGGCTAAGCTCGAGCTTGTAGTCTTGAAAGCAACAACCGAACGGGAAGAACTCCAATAACGCGTTACACGGTCCTTCGGAAAAGCAATTTTTCCCGGTAGCAATATTTGCAGAGTCATCCATGTGCTTGTAGGCTGTAGCAACCTGTACGATTAAGCTGCTTGAAAGGCTTGCGGGGATGGAGGATCGAACGGCCATAGTTAACCTCTCCTTTTTAACAACTGCTCTCCCTCTTTTCGCGTTTCTCGTTCTTTCTGTTTCTTTTATTCGTTTGTAAGTTCCGAATGGTTAGATACCGGATATTCGACTGAAAATTACGTTCTTCGCTCGCGAGACGGATCGTTAAATATCTAGCGAGTTTCCTCAGCAGTTATGCTTCGTCCACGTCGAATTTTTTCATTGGTCTCTCTGCCATTTTGTTGCACCGGGGAACGAAGGAGCCCAACTTCTGCCAGGAATCGAAACTGTACCTTTACTACGAATTTATCTCCGTTATCAACGAATGCTCCGTCTCGTTTCGAGACTTCTGTGCTGCTGTAAACATTGTAGTATACCAGTACAACCTAGTCGTCGCGATTCAAGAGAATCGTGCCAGATTTATTTCTGCTCGTGGATAGAGAGATCTCTTTGTCGGCTGTCCCTCCCCTCAAAGTTCGCCGACGGTCCAGGGTGAAATATGGAAATGAATTACGAAATTAGTGTAGAGTCGACTTAAACAGTCGATTTAAATGCGTCACTCGAGGAGCGAGAGGAGCCGGCTTAACGGCCATTCGAAGTCGCCCTCCGCCGGATCATTCCTACTTCCCTCCCTGCTGTTTGATCGTAGTCCATTCTTCGAAGAGGGCAAACGCCGAGCGAGGAAACTTAAATCGACTGGGAAAACTAGAATTCAATCCTTCTATCGTTCCTATTTTTCGTTCGCCTCTGACACGCTCCACGTCTGTACTCTTTCTGTAGAAAGGGTGGAAAGAAGCGGAGGAATAAAAATGCTCTCCAGCCGTCCTTAGTCCACGTTTATTTAGTTTGCTCGTTTTCAACAGGTAGTAGAGAATTCATCGGTGGTCGTCCCTCTCTTTCGCCGGTCCACGCGAACACGCCGGTCCCTTTGATTATGCGCGTCGCGACGTTCAACGCGTTCGGGAAACGCGTGTATAATGCGAAATTACACGCGGATCGAGGAGGATGCGGTACCCTCGTCGGAGAGGTCGCGGAGAAATTGTTCAGAGTTGTACGGAGTTACGTCCGGTGGGAAGCTTTCAGAGCACCCTAACGAAATTAGAGAGTAGATTCGCGAGTAGACTCGAACCAGACCGAATTCTCCTATCTAATTCGGATTTAAACGACCCCTTTAGCTGGGGCGCTTTAAAATGTTTCACGGCAACGGGAGTCTATCCTGGAATGAGGCACATCTCGGATAACAGCTGTGCTCTTCGTTCGACTACCATTCAAAGAGGCTATTGTAGCGATCTTTTTAATATCAGGTAGTGCTGTACCTGTGAATACTTTCCTTTCGATAATCGCCTAAGTTTATGAACGATATTGCAGGAATTTTCTTCGCTCTTTCGCGTATATTCGAAAAAATTTAAACGTGTACGAAAGATATTTAAAAGTGTACATTGCGTAGGCTGGAAGGAAAGTTCGTAACGCTTGTCAACT